TGCTTGTCAGTGGTAATCTTGGATACTTTGATTTTTCCGTCATGCCAAGGACCATTGGGGTTGTTTTGAGGAGGGCCATCTTGAGGGCGATGGACAAAGGACCAGAAATGATGATAGAACTGGCTCAAATAGCGGGTGCGATTGGTGATTCGTTGACCGATAGCGAGAAGTAGTGCACCAGCATTGTCTTCGAAGATGATGGAGCGAACAAAAGCGGTCAAGTTTGGAAGTTGGAGCCGTGGAAGAAGTTCTTCGATTAGATTCTTGAGCCCCAGAAGAACCGTCATGGAGCGAGAAAGTTGAACATATTCAGCCTCGAGAGTGCTGAGAGTAATGCACGATAAGAGCGAGCTTTTCCAAATGAGAGGAACTCCTCCAAGGAAAATGATATATCCGCCACGAGACCGAGACACTGCTGGATCATATGGAGCCTCAGATTTGAACAGTCCTGCAAAATCTGCATCACAGTATGCTTCAAGGTCAAGAGTCCCATTAAAGTTCACAATCAACCCTTTGTCGGATGTCTTCTTGAGGTAACGAAGGATTGTCTTGACGGCGGTGGCATGGCTGACTTTTGGATTGCTGTTGAAGCGGGCCGCACAGGAGACTGCATAGCTGATGTCTGGGCGAGTATTTGTGCAGAGGTAGATTAGCATCCCAACGATTGAGCTGTAGCGCCAGGGATGTTGGGACCAAGGTTCTCCGTTAGGGTCCTTTCCTAGTGGGGTTGGTGCAGCCGGAACGTGATTGGGACTGCAGTCGGTCATCTTGGCGGCTTCGAGCACCTTCTTGATGAGCCCTTCTTGAAGGAGGTGGTATCTACCATCCTTCATCTGGCGAATTTCGACTCCAAGAAACGTTTCAAAGTCGCCTTCAATCTCCAAATCAAATCCCTTTTCTTTCAGCTGGTTGACAAGTTCATCGATTTTCTCTGGTTTGTCAGTGCTGATACCGCAGTCGTCGACATAAACGACAATCATCATGTCTTTGCGAATAAGGAAGCATTTATCGTAGGAGGAGCTTTCAAATCCAAGCTCGTGAAATGCCTTCATTAAATGTTTGTACCATAGCCTTGGCGCAATGGTTGTCCCATATGCAGACTTCTTGAGGTGTAGTACTGTTCGTTCACCAGTGATACTTCTCATATTAGAGTAGAAGCCTCTTGGTAGGTGAGCAAACATTTCCAGATTGTCTGGTAGTTTGGCATGGAGAAAGGCATTGGTGAAATCGATCGACTTCATGACCCATCCAAGCTTGAGACTAAGGACCATAAATGTGCGGACCGAGGACCAAGCGACGACTTCAGCGGTGGTGTCCATGTCCAGGTCCTGAAGATCACCTCGTAATACCCATCTGGCCTTGAATTTGATGATGGATCCATCTGGCGCGCGTTTGACTCGAAAAACCCAAGTGCCAGGAATTACTCTGACTGTGGCATTGGATTCTGGGGCTTCCAACCATGTGCGCTTGTGTTCGAGTGCTCTGATCTCCTTCAAGGCAGCCTCACGCCACTTGTCTCGATCAGGACCAGCCATAGCTTCATCCCAGCTTAAAATATCAGGGTCGGTGGTGCCAGTTTTGAGAAATTCGATCGAATCAGGTGGTGCCTTGCTGTCAAGAAACACAAATTTGGGAGTGTTTGTGGTGGTGTAGCCAAGGTAGGAGAAATGGAGGTCATAGAATCCACAAATACCACCATCATCTGACTCTGGTTGAGTCTTGAATCGTCTGTATGAAGGATGGCTGGTGGTCAATACCAGATCCTCGTTGGCAAGAAATGGAGTGTCCTTTGGGAACGAATGGAGGTTTTCGGTGTCATTGAAGTCGGGATCGTTTGATGGATTGATCTCGGCCAAGTTGGAGGATGGCAAAGGTTTGGAGACGTAGGTCTTAGAATGGGGGTTGGGATCGAGAATGGGAGCCGGTTTACCTCTGGTGGATCGTGTACTGCGTCGCAATGGTGGTCCGGATGATGATGTTGGCGGAATTGATGATGATGGTAGGTCAATGGGAGTTTCGCGTGCCGTTTTATGGGGACTCTTTGACTGAGTTTGTTGCTCCCTCTGAAGGGGTAAAGGAGTAGGATTGCCAGTATTTGTGGATGAAGGAATATTGGCGGGAGGAGACTGCTCCCTCTCAACTGACACACTCTCCCTCTCAAACGAAGGTTGGGAGGGTTCACGGAAAACGGAGGGATCAGAAAGGGTAGGTTGGGTGCCGGCGTAGTGGCTGGTGGAAGGTTCAAAAGAATCAAGAGCGGAAAGCTCATAAGATAGGGGGACTTGAGATTGAGGTGTCAAGGAAGGAGGATCATTATCATCGGTGGGAAATTGAAATTGGGAGTCGCCGAAGAGATGCTGCCACTGTTCCTCCATGAAGGTGGGGACATCGTCAACCTTGGAGGATAATGTGGCAAACCAGTCATCAAAGATGCAATTGAATTGGGGTGTGATGGCACCGGTGCGAGGGTTGAGGACCAGCGGCACTGTGCTTGCGTGAAAAGGACTGAACCAAAGGTGAACGTAGCGTTCGGAGCGTGGCGAGAACTTGGGGAGAGTCTTACCATCTGCGATTTTCTTGTCGAGAACGTAGGTGGGGCATCCAAACACATGGATATCGTGATATTTGGAGTGGGGCCAACGTTGGCGGGAGAATTTGCCCATGGGTGTGAGACCAGTGTTGACGTCGGGGAGGTGGTTGTGGAGGAAGACTGCATGGTCGATGGCCATTGGCCAGAGCGCGAGATCGGCTTGTTTGGGCCAACGGATGGCAAGGTGAATGAGTAATGTGCGGGCAGTAGATTGAATGTCCTGAATGGCCTTTTCGACGATGCCATTGGCATGGTGTTGGCCAACACCAGCAAACTTTTGAGTTTGACTGAAGGCTTCAAGATGTTGCTTGTATTCGTGGCTGTGGAAGACAGCAGCGTTGTCACTGCGGTATTTTTGAGGAACGACACCAAGGTCACGACAATTCGCCTCATACATTTCCTTGGCCCGTAATGTTTCGTGGGTGTTCAGGGATTTCTGATGTTGAACGAAGATATATCCTGTCGCATTGTCGACGAAGATAGCAGATCCGCGGAACATCTCAGACTTGTGACCTTTCCCGTAGCCAGTGTAGGTTCGGCCAGGAACAGATGAAACAAGATGATCGACGGATACCTCTTGACCGGGATAAAGAGTGTTGGCGCGAAGAGAGCTGGGAGCATCCTTGACGCGAGCATGAGTTTTGGCCTTGGCAACGGCACGTCGTTTAGCTTTGGCGTAGCAACATGCGGCACACTTGGGTGGTTCAACTCGTTTGGAAATGTGGGTGTGCAGCGTCCGCATGCGTTGACTTTTAGCAAGGGTTCCGGTGCGCATCAAGAAGCGTACAATGGCGAATGAACGGTGGCCAAGACGTTGATGCCATTTCAACCATTCCTTGTCACCGTCGTCAAGGTTGGTGTTAGTGCATCAGATGGGCACTCATCCACAGCGTTACCAGCAGCGCGGGCCTGAGCTGGAGGGAGTAAAGATTCATGTTGGTGTGGATTAGTGTTGTGAAGGACTTCATGGGCTTTACCACAATAGGTCTTGCCGTGTGCATCAATTATCTTGGCGGCAACTGATGACACTGGTAAGACGGTACCAATGTCTTGACCTGCAATAGGCCCTGTGAGTGCGATATGTCTTCCAGTCATACCAATCCTTCTCCAAACATAGCCTGCCAAGAATTGGTCGGCGCCACTGTCGGTAATCAGGATGGATTTGGTGGGATGAGGCATGGGTGTTAGACGGCGGAGCGCCCGTTTTTGTTGTTGTTGGGCACGTCCGCGTCCCTGTCACCACTCTGTAATGGTAACATGGGCTTGAGACGTTCTCCGCGACGATTCTTCCAAAGTTTCTTGTAGTAGGACTGGATCAGCCATTGTTTTCCAGTTTTGTTTGGCTGTGCGTCAGAAGAACCGTCATCACCGTCTTTGACATCTTTTGTAGCTCCTCTAGGATCTTTGCGTTTGACACCAATGTACTTTGGTCTCATACCAAACTCTCGATCGATTTTTCCGGGTTGTAAGTTGGTACCATGGCAGGTTTCACGCCAGGTCAACATCCGCTTGAAGAGACCATTCAGAAAACTCTTGAGGGATATGCCATTTTGGATACTCTTTCAAATAATGCTTATCAAATTTGACACCAGTCCTCTTCTTTTAGCTCTTGTCAGTTGCTCCACGGCGGGCCACCACAGCACCATCGTTAAGGACGGGGGGGGGTCCTTGTCAATGAGAGCTTGTGTTTTACTGTGGGAGCATAGTTGTTCGAGATACTCATCAATGGAAGCTAACGGGTACTTCACAATGTAATGTCTCATGTCACTATGTATCAGAGACAATTGCCTTGAGGAGGAAAACACGGAGAAGCTCATGGCTGGTTGCCAGTGATTGATTACTTCTCCGCAACCTTGTAGTAATGGACTTCCAATTGGAAATAAAATGAGGAACTGTAACGTCGTGAGTCAACTTGATGGAAGTCAACTTGTCAATTGCATACATTGCAAAATGAGCCTGATCCTCTGGAGAGTTGTAGGTCTCCAGTAATTGTTGGTAAAGATCGTAGGCCACAGTTTGTCCTTTCTTTTCTTTCACTTCATCGGCAATATGGCTAGCGGTGCCATCATTCAGAGCTTTTGCGATTGGGTAGAAACCCTGACTTGATGCATCCTTGTGCCAAGTAGATTGTTCATGGAACTTTGCATCCGTTAGAGCAAGTTCTATAACTTTAGATGTCCAAGGCCAATATACAGTAGATTCGCCATTGAATGGTTCAACCTCTGGACAGCAAAACTTCATGCCTTGACGTTTGCCAATCGCTTTTGTCAAATCAATAGTGGAGTAGTGGGCATATTTTGTTTTGCTTAGTCAATCGAAAATTGCACAATCTTTTGGTAGGTAAGACTGGGATCGATGACTACTGAAGGGGCAGATGCATAGAGGAGAAACTTCTTGAGGCGCCCAGTGATGACACCGTAAATTAGGCCACCATCCGGAAGGGCATCCTCTCCATGACTGAGTAAGTCATCCACATCCTGTCCTTCAAGATCAGACGGTTTCTCAACACCAATGTGGTCAAAGAAAGTTTGAAGCGCATCAAACATCGGTTTGGTCAAATTCTCCTTGTTAAAGACAATCTTTGTGATGAGCAACGCCTCCGGTTTGTAAATTTGTCATACACCACAGGAGGAAGTACCGCGGCAACATTTTCATCAACTGTATTGTCAGTTTCCTCAGGATTTTCACCAGAAAAATCAACAGTCTTGCTAGGAGTGACAAAACTATTGTCAGTGGGAGTAGTTGAAGGCATAATATGAGTTGGTAGAACTGCGAAGCGACTTGTTAATTGTCAGTAAATCATAGAGTGTCTAGATGAATGTGATGAATGATGTGATGTTTGAAGGCATACTAGTAAGTTGTAAGACGACTAACTCGATCCTGACATAAAATCCCCATGTTTGTCATCGTACTTGTTTTTGTCCTGAATCTCCTGTACCTCGCTACTCAATCTAACCCAAGCAATCCATAATGGATAGAGGAGCCTAGGCTTTCAAATAATATCTGTTTTAGGAAATTGCCTCATTCAGCCATGGTTAGGATCACAATTGTCGTATCAATCTTGTGATTTTTTCATGCCACAATTTCGGCGTTCGGATGCACACCGAAGGCTAATCACCTTGCAGCGTTAACTAAACTGTTTGCTAGCAAAGGCTAAACGGCAGACATGCCATGCGTGCAACCATCTGTGCCACGTTTATATACAGCTCTCAATATGAGATGCTTTGACATTTAGGGCTAACTTATTTGAAGTTACCAGATATCACCAACGTTTGCCTTCTGGCGATTCTCTCCATGATTTCTGACTTCAAGTCCAACACAATTCGACTCTGAAACCAAACAACAAGAAAAAATCGTCGACACATCCTCACATCACAATAGCTGCTATTTTTCAATTCCGTAACTGGGGAGAAACCAATCTCCTTATTCAACCTGCCCTCATGCTACACATGACTGACGTTGAAGGTCTTGACTCTGTTGATTCCTTTGCCAACAGAACAACTTCTCAAGTTCGTGAAGACATCAAATCTATGCAAAGAGCTCCAGATCCCAACAATCCAAATGCAACTATCGGAATCACTGCTCGCGAAGCGATGACTATCCATCGTATCTCAAAATATGGGAAGCTCCTCATTTTGGTTCAGCGAACATATACACCAGCCCTTGGAACCATCCCAAATCTCCTTTGTATTGGTCAATTCTATGATGAAAATCCGGATCTCATGGAAGGGGACTCCTACCCACTTCCTCCTCATTCTCCAAAGATGGAAAACATTGAAAGTTGGGCTTGTACCGCCTACGGATATTGTGGAATTTGCCTTGATTATATTTTCCGTGAAAATTCTGAACTTCCAGTTGTTGGTGACCCTGGTTTCCTCCGAGCCGACGACGGCTCTCGCTCCATCAAAGAAGAACTTGTCCAAATACTGGTGCTGTGTTCCGTCGCAACAACCAGAAATTTTGGGTTATGCTCCATGCCGTCACACATGAAACCGATGCCTACAATCATGTTCGTCAATTTGCTCCAACTTTGAATGGTCATGCTGCTTACTTCACTCTGTTTGCACAATATCGTGGAAGGGGACATTTCACAAATGAACTCCAAGCTGCTGTCCGTGTCCTTGCAACACTTCACTGGAACGGTAAAGCTCGAGGCTTCACATGGAATACTTTTATCAGTCGCCTTATAGGAGCCTTCAACAACCTCAAGTTGAACCGTGATCCACGCTCTGATGCAATTAAGGTTGACGTACTTCTCGAGAAAACTGTTGGAGATTCCTCACTCTCTAATGGAAGATCACATATTACTGGAGATGCCATTCTCCGATCCAATTTCCAAGGTGCCATCGATTATCTAACAACACAAGTTTTAGCTGCAGGTAACAACAACTTGCTGCTTTTACTCGTGGTGGTGGCAGACGCGGTGGTGATGGGAGAAGTGGGGGTCGTGGCCAAGGAAATGGCGCCTCAAACCGCATGCAATCAAATGTTCCAGATTGCTTTAGCCGCAATGGTATTCTACTAAATGATGGAGGTTACTCAGATCAGATCTGGAGATAGGAGTTTACACAAGAAGAAAGAAATATCTGTTTAGAAATGTATCGCAACCGTTGCAATGGTGGTGGTCATGGCAGAAGAGGCCGTGAAGGCTGTGGTGGTTGTGGTCGTGGTATCAGCGCTGTCCATGATGGATGAACTGATCAAGAAGAAACAGAAGAAGAAAATAACAATGATGGGCGTGGGGCAGGTGCAGGAATGAGTCGTCGCCGTCGCAACAATCATTGTTGGCTAAAACAGCCAGTCTGGTCCTCAAAAATGTGACAAGTTGGGATGGATAAAAGAGCAGTCGAACATGTCGGACAGTGAAGTTGGACATTTGTGATATCGAACACCAACAGTAGTATGGTTTGAGTACGTACAGAGATGGATAAGTATTGAAGGTAGATCCGGATCTGTGACTAGTTTGTGAAGAACATGTGCGTATGTACTTTCTACGTTGCGACAGCTGGTGAGAGCTGATGTTGATGGCTTCCGGAAGAGATTTTTTTACCTGCTTGTGGAGATCATTGTTGATCGACTTCTGGCAAGAATAACAGTAGAATAAGATCTAATAGGAAGTGGTGAGACTGCTCATCTGCAGGTAGAAGCCCAGCATCACTGGCACCTTTTCCTTTTGTAGGCAATCCATAGCCGACGTAGATTTGAGCTCAGTATACTCCAGAGGTAGCTAGAGCGTTGAGGCTCTCATTACAGCTGCGGAGTTGAATATCTAGTGTGTTGGGAATTCACATGCACGTATAAGAACTTAATGAAGTACTGTTGGGACTGACAAAGTACTTCTGGAAAATTCAGGATTAAAAGTGGTCTTCAGGAGTGACAAATAGATAGGATATACCGGTAGCTGGGTCAGAACCAGCTTGTCACATTTTTGAGGACCAGACTGGCTGTTTTAGCCAACATGTTGGAACTTGGGAGACCTGACAAAGAAGAAGTTCTGTTTGACTTTGATGAAGAAGATGATGACAACACACAAGAAGATGTGGCAGTTGAATCAGGAGAGGAAGATAGTGTCGCTCATGGAAGAGTGAGATTTGCGGACACAGATGATGATGAGTCTGACACCAAAGGAATTGTGAGAAGTTACAGTGACGACGGTGTAGAGATTGGAACAAAAAGGGTACTTCGTCCAAGACACAATCGATCCTACTTCTCACAAGGGGTAAAAATAAGACCCACTGAGAGATACAGAACAGATAAATCAAGATTTGGACAGGCATACATACAAAGAAAGAAACAGGCAATGAGGACATGGACTACAAAGACAGTCTGATGGAAATGATGGAGCCTCTCTCCCTGACAAGTCTACTGCGCGTGAGGCCTCTGATACCTGACAGAAATAAATGAAAATAGACTATAAGCCTATAGTTGACTAGTTTCTACAAGTTGATCGTTATCAATTCAAGTAAAATGCATGCAGTGAGAAAAGCGATGATCCATCACTTTTCCACGCGAATCCTATGATTTGTCAGAGAACTGCTGACTCAGTTATTTTCTAAGCTAAATTAATGGCGTGTAACTGTTTGTGCATGTGTGATGCGTGCGGCGCACAGGCTACACTTCAACCTGGGAATCCTATAGGTCAAGTCACAAGTCCTGTTCCTATTAGAATTCTGTCACTCCCCAGCAGTATCTCCAGACCAGAACATTAGAGTCGGTAGTGGTGTCCAGAATTGCTGATGACCCCAATGTTTGCTGAGAATATCAGCTGGGTTGAGAGCACTGTCAATGTGGATAAAAGATAGCATGTTAGCTGCTACTGCTTCTCTCACACGGTGGAATGACAATGCAACATCTTGATTGTGTAGCTTAGCTTCAGGTAGGGAAGAACTGTTCATGACAGATTCATTGTCACCAAACATGTAGCTTTGACCTCTGATTGGCACGCCAAGGTACCTCAAGGTTTCTTGGAGAACCATGATCTGTTTGGCACAGGTTTGAGTGGCTACAGACTCAGAACCATAAGTCGCAGTCTCAACAGTTGACTGCTCCTTAGAGAAGAAATCAATTGAGGTTCCATTCAACATATGATGGATTATACCTGCAACCGATTGGTCTGTCAACAGACAGTAGGATTTTGTTTTGTTTTGTAATACATAGGTAGAGTCACCATAAGGAAGGAGTCTGGGCTTGTGTTTGCCACAATATTTAAGGTCATTGACAAGTTGGACTTGGAACTTTTGGTGATATTTTGGTGTTGGGGTTACTCTCCCCATATCCACAAGGACCTTGTACCTTGCAAGCAGATCTATCTTGACTTTGGTGGTGTGTTTCCATTTGGTGTTGCCATGGAGTTTGTCAAGTTGAAGGACACCATTGTGGTCTTTCTGGATCTTGTAGTAGTACATACACTTTGGTGAAGTAGTGTGTAGCAATCTCAGCTTGACTTGATTGGAAGGACAAAGAAGTTTCTTCTTGTCCTTGACAAAGAAGTGTACAACCTTGACTTTCCAACAGGTTGTGATTTCTAGGATGCATAGTGTAGGTCACTGAATTATCGGCTCCAGTGATGCTCAGTGGTTTTGGGGTATTCTCCCCATGTTTCCATCCAATGGCCATACTGTCGGTCAGACCCAGGTAAGAAGGGTGTTTAAGTTGAATGTAGTGATGGTGGCATACAACTCGCTTGAGCTTCCAAACAATGGGGCTGTCCTTGTCAATTTGTGACCACTTGTGGATGTTTTGGTAAGCCATGACACATGCATATTCACCTTTGTCAATGTTCAGGCATAGTTCAATATATGCAGGCTGAATGTCCCTGTAGTTGAGCTCAACAATCTTATCACCTTGAACATGACCTTCATCTGGTGGGCTGCATTGAGGTTCAAAGGATGACAACTTGCAAGTTAAGTCTATGAGTTTGTCTCGCTTTGGAGTAGACTCAATGACAAAGTTGATAGGCGTTTCAGGAACAAACAGAACAAATGGTTGCCTGCCTGACTTGTAAGCTTCAAAATCTGGTGGTCTAAAATGTGGCACATGGGCAGGGTCTAAATCAAATAGACCAGCCATGTTACATTCCAACCAATCAAGATCAGAAGCTTGTCCAGGATGTAGTTTGTACAGACCATTTGTTGCCATGACACAGTGATGAGTTTCAATGAAACCAATAGCATCATTGAAGGCAGGAGAATCCTTCAGAGTAGTGACTGTTGTGTTACTGTTAGTAAGGATGTCCACTCTATCAAATGGACTTCGTTCACCTGTAGACCCATCATCCAGTATGTCCACTCTATAAAATGGACTTTGTTCACCTGCAGACCCATTGTCCGGTACAGACTTGGCCCATTCATCAACATCAACTCCATCTTTGGCTATCTTGTGATTCTTCACTTCTTGAGTAGCTTTGCGATACTTGGTTGCTGGGACCAGAGCCAACTTGTCTGATTTGATCTCTTCACTTGTTGCAGAAGTCAGAGTATCTGCATCTTCACTCCTCCCCATACTCAAGTGCTGGAACTGTGAGAGAAAATCGGTAGTAGTCGACATTTCATGTAAGTTGACAGAATGTTGGGGGGATGGAGGTGGTTGTGCAGGAGGCTGATTGTTGGAACCAGCAGCTTCTAACTTTGCAGTGCAAAGAGATGTCTTGCAAGGAAGTGTTGCCAGAGATGCCAGACAAGCTAGGTAGGCAAGAGGATTGGGCTCAAGGTCACCTGATGCAAGATCAGTAGCAACCGGCTCAACAAGACAAGGATACTGGACATGATTGTCGTCAAGGGTACCATGTTGGGTTTTGGTCTCTGGGTCAACAATAGGATCAGGCTCAAGGTCGACTGATGCAAGATCAGTAACAAAGGGCTCAACAAGACGTGGGTACTGGAAATTTTCCTTCTCAAGTCCCTTTCCAATGTGAGCAGACTGGTTCATGATTACAATAACAGGACCGTGCTGATTCATAGTGAGGCCGGCACAAGTAGCAATTGTAACATTGGTCACTTTATGATTGTCAATGCCTTGCACGTCAACAGAACGGTTGGTTTTGACAATGAAGCGGACATCATCACCTGCGATTCCACCATTTGCACCTCGATCAAATAGAGCTACATCCTTGCGAGTGCTACACAGAGAACGGAGTAGGTAATAGTGGTTGCACATGCTTTATACCATACTCCATCTATGACAATCTCGTGGTTCTTAGCTTCTTGTTTGCCTTTGCAATGTTTGGTTGCAGGAACCAAAGCTGACTTGTCTGACATGACACGTTGTAGCTCCCCCGGTTGTAGGGAAGATTGCTTGGTGACATGAGCTAAAAGTTTGTCATGTGTGGGCTCTTCATTCATTTCAGAAGTCAGAGTACCTACATCACCCCCCATGCTCAAATGCTGAAACGGAGAAAGGAAATCAGCGGCCAACATATAATGCAAGTTGACAGAACGGTGGGGAGGCGGTGGGGATGGTGGTGCCGGCAAAGGTTTGTTGGAACCACCAAGTATGACAGCGTTAGCAGCTTCAGGAAGTTGATGCCAGGCACGTCGACCTTGATCATCTAACTGTTGCCACAGTTTGTTTGGTAGAAAGGTCTTGCAAGCAGATGACAAAGACGTGCAGTAAGCATAGTAGACGCCAAGGTCCATGTCAATGTTGAATTCAAACATGGGAGGGCCAAGATCTGGTTCAAGATCACCAGTGGTGACAACATCAGTAGCATATGCCTTCCTAGGATCGGCCTTGGGCTTGGATCCTTTGGTGACCTCATCATGGTTTTGGGCTGCTGCCTCAAGGAGTGACGCATACTCATCAAAAGTAAGTGGTCTGTTGTTGTTCTGCAAGGCCAATTGTTTGCTGGTGTCCAACACATTGCGAAGGTATGGCACAAGTCTGACAGCATTGGACAACATGATAATGAGTTGCTCCTTGGGGGTTGGGTGTTTTGCTACCTCGTGGTACTGGCGGAGCGTATCAAGCCAATGAAGAATGAAGGACATATGACTACCGGGCCATTGGTCTGTAGTGAGTTGAGCAATGGTCAACCATTGCAATTTGGTGTTGGCTGTCAAAGTGGCCTTGATAGACTGAGTATAAAACTTGCAAAGATCCCGGTGCGACAAGTAGCTTCTAGATTACGACGGTAACTATCCCATTGCTTATCATTAGACAAAGTTGGATAGAGGTTGGCATCTAGTTTGATGCCCAGATCAAATTCCTCAGCTGGTGATCGTCTGGATAGCTTGGAGACAAGAGGCTGTGGGATGGTGCAGCTGCGGAATATGATGAATGCGCTGGAGGCCCTGTATGTATCAAAATCATCAGGGTCAATGAGGATACAGTTAGTCAGGGTGACTGGATCCTTGAGCACAGTTTCTCGGTGGTAGACATAGCCACGGATCCCATGGAGATATGCCTTAAGAGGTTTTGGCACATCCCAAAGTACATCAGGTTGTGGGTCACCGTTAGCATCTTGTGGCTGACTGACAGGATACTGTAGTCCGTCAATATCAGCATCATCCATGCCAACAAGGTCGAGGTAACATTTGCAACCATATAAGTCAAGTGCGAGATGAAGAATACTGCCAGCACTGTAGCCAAAGACAGTTTCCAGGATGTACACAAGACTAGTTTCAAGATGTCCAGGTTGTAGGACTCGAGACGGGTTGCGGTTTGTTGTTGAGTTGCCAGCAGCAGTGGACATTGTCACTCGTGTGCCTGATGGTTGAGTAGTACTTGTGGCGGGCAGTTGAGTGATGTTGGTGTCAGTGTTTAGAGCTTGCAATTCTCTTTGACCGATCCGGACCATGCAGGAGTTGACTCAGAGGAATGGAACTCAGTCGACTCAGTTGATCAGAAGATCAGTTGACTGGTTGGAGCCAGAGGATGGTCGAAGTAAAATTGAAACACATGCCTGAAGGTTTGTTTCCTGATGTGCTGGTGTAGGACTGCAGGATTGGGCGCACAATTGCCCTTTCCAGATCGTTTTACTTCTTGATTTGCACCAAGAAGGTGGTCTCTCGCTTTTGAGACTTCCACCACAGAAGCTATTCAATCAAAAGGAGAAATCGGATTCCTTGCTTTGTTGAAAACTCCTGACAACAAGAAGGAGGTGAACAGGGGCAGCACGAGCTGGCAGTTTGTGCATGTGTGATGCGTGCGGCGCACAGGCTACACTTCAACCTGGGAATCCTATAGCTCGAGTCACAAGTCCCGTTCCTGTTAGAATTCTGTCAATACCAATGTTAACTTCTATATATTGCTCTGTGTTTATTCCAAATTTTATTTTATTTTTAAATTGGCTGTTTTAGCCAACATGGTGTGATGTACTGAGTTTCAGTACCTAGCTGCAGTAGATAGACTGCAAAAGATAGGAGGTCGCGGAGATAAGAGACAAGGCTGAGGTCAAGGGTTCAAATCCCTTGAGAATAGGGGCTCAAAGGAGTGAGTAAACGAACAATTGAATAAGGCCGACAACAGACGGACAGACAGAATGTCCGATCGAATGAATCACATGCGCGATCCATCGCTCAAAGGAGTGTGTTGGGAATTCACGAACTTAATGAAGTACTGTTGGGACTGACAAAGTACTTCTGGAAGATCCAGGTTTATATGGATTAAAAGTGGTCTTCAGGAGTGACAAATAGATAGGATATACCCGTAGCTGGGTCAGAACCAGCTTGTCACATTTTTGAGGACCAGACTGGCTGTTTTAGCCAACAATTGTAAAGACAATTGACTAGGACCTCATCTGTTAGATCCCTCACAAGCACTCACCCAAATTCTTCTATGGTATCAGTTCTATTGGATAAGATATTCCGCCGCTACAACAAGGCAGGCTTTCAAGTCAAGATCATCAAGTGTGATTGGGCGTTCATTCCTCTCACGGATGATGTGCTAGACGATATGGGTGTTACTATTGACCCGACTGCAGCTGGAGACCACGAGCCTACCGCTGAGCGAAACAATAGGACGTTGAAAGAAAGAGTCAGAGT